ACAAGACAATCTACTGAAGAGAATGCAACATCGAAATGTTTTTCCATTACCCTTATATTATTATCAAATACAAGAAGAAATTCCAGGCAAATTCATAATTAAATGACCAGCTTCTTCTTCTTCCTTCATCATCATCATCATCATCATCAATTGCTGGAACCTGAAAGACCCTTGATGATGATTGGTGGCCATTCCTTATTTCCTATGCTCCTCTTCCTTCTAGAAGCAACAAATCTTAGAAAGTTCTAAGAGGATTTAGCCAAAAGGAGACGTATGTAAGGAATCTAAGATCTAACAGAGAAAGAAAACTAAAACTACAATTGCCTGGCTCCATCCTGTCTGCCTTTTTTTTCTTCCTATTCTGACAAGAGAATGTTGTTACTGTTGTACAAAGGGGGAGAAGAGAGAGAGCATCATGATAAATATGACCTTAGATTAGCAAGGGTAGTGTAGTCATTTTACCTTAGTAGAGGGAAGAAATGGGTGGTTGAGAAAGATGAGAAGTGCTTGTCCTCCCGGAACCCAACCCCACCTCCAAAATTCCCTTCTCTTCATTTTCCTTTCTCTCTGACAAAAACAAAGAGAGTAGAAGGGAGGGGAAGAAGGAGAGAGATGGGGGGTTACAAAGAAGGGACCCAGGTGAGGGAGGAAGAGGCATTTCAGGTACTTTTATAGCATAGGGCTTCTTGCTTTATCGGGGCTAATTGAATTTTGGGATTTTCGCTTTAAGTGGCCGGTGGAAGGCCGTTTTCAACTTACCCTTTGGCATATTTTCTGTAAGAAACAAAACCATCCAATTTCTTTGGCCTGTTCATTGTTCAATTAATGTTCTTCTTCTTTAAGAAAAGAGATGATGAATTGTTCAATGTTTTTAGTATTTATTTTTATTGGTAAGATTGAATTGACCAAAGAAGTTTGGTGGCTTTTTATTCAATTTTAGGCAAGTCGACTCTTGACATGCTTATAGTTTTATGGCAGGTAGGTGCACAACTCAAGAGGGGTGAATGGAAGATGAAAAATAGTGTTATTATTCATCCCTTTCTTTCAATTCTTTTTTTTTTTTTTTTTTGTTCTTGTATTAATTTGTTTTTTCTTTTGATAAGAAAATAGCAAGGCTATTATTCTCTAACAAAGGGGGAAAGAAAACACAATGTTGGGGGATATCTATACAGGCAATACCCTTCATAAGATTTTGCCTACAAAGAAGGGGAAAAAAAGACTCCCAAAATAATTAAGAATACAAGCTTTGTTCTCACAATTGAAGTTTTGAAAATCTTAATCCTTTTTTGCTGGGGAAGAAAAATGTATCAAGTTATAAAAGAGGATTCTCACTACTGGGCAGGTTCAAAATCATTTAAAATACATATATGGTAGTTAGAAATGAAAAAAAAATTCCCAAAATAATTAGAAAAATAATCACTACTAGATTCTTTTGCATAAAAGAAGGCATGCATACCATGACTTACTGTTCAACTTGGATGGTTTTTGTGCACGTTTATTTTACTTATTGTGAAACAATTAATAATCAATATATAAATAATTGTTTATAATTCAAACAATTTTATATATTTACCTACAAATCTGATAGTTATTTCTAAAAAAAAAAATTAAATAGATAATAAATACTTATAATTCCATGAGTAGGATGAGCTGTGGATAAGGGAAGGATGTATGAAATGTTTAATAATTGATAAACTTTATTAATACATAAAAAATATATATTATTGCTCCAATAAGACAGCCACCATCTTTGACAATGAGAGGAATCGAGTGTTGTGCCTTATACGTCAATGATTCTCTCCATTCAAAGGAATACATGGCGATCGCAAAACCCCACGATACCCTTTATACAACCTCCGAATTTGCCGACACAATTGTCATTAGCTTACGCTAGGTAACAATGAAAAATAAACACGAATCTTGAAACTTGAAAGTGTTTCCAAAAATTAAGAAAACATGTTTCCACTAACTTTGTTTATTTTAGTATTTCTTTTGAAATAATTCATATAAGTCTCAATTTTATAAAATTTTTAATTTAAAAATATCATTATTTAATGAATATTTTAAAGAATTAATTATTAAATTTAATATTTTATTCATGTAGATTATAAATGTTTATTTTTAAATAAATTAAATATATTTCATTGATTCATAAATTTTATAAATTTAACAC